TGACACTTGAGCAACTGCTTTGCCCTTCCAAGTGGAAATGAGTCTGTCAGTGGGATTTACAAAGTTCCCCCCTCACACTGATGAGAACGTGGTGCCTGGTGAGTTCATGGTGATGGGTTTAGTACGTGGTGTCCTCCAAGAAAACAAGTGAGGGAGAAACAGGAGGAGAAAAGAGCAACTACAGCAGCACGAGGGGACTTTGGGGGACAGCCTGGCTTGTTCTTTGCGTTGGATCCTTGTCACATAAGCCAGATGTGAATCTGTACTTCCCTGCTGTGTCCTCCCATTGCACACAGGATGTTAAACATGGAGTTTCTTCCCACAGGTCAGCAGATCAGGAAATTGATTAAGGATGGTCTGATCATCCGCAAACCCGTCACCGTTCACTCTCGTGCCCGATGCAGGAAGAACACCTTGGCCCGCCGGAAGGGCAGGCACATGGGCATCGGTGAGTACACCATTTCTGCCTCAGAAATGTCTCTGTTCCATGGTACATCATCCACCTACAAGCTCATATTGAGTGATGATGTCCAGGAGTCTTGTGACAGAGCCTAAAACCACACAGTTTGTGTGTCAGTCGTTTTCTTCTTGAAGTAAAGAGGATTAAACACTCCAGCAAAAGCTTGTTCTTCAACATGCAGAACCTTCACCTCATTCTCACCCTGTTTTCCCTCTCCAGGTAAGAGAAAGGGCACAGCCAATGCTCGGATGCCCGAGAAGGTGACCTGGATGAGGAGGATGCGGATTCTGAGGCGCCTGCTCCGTCGATACAGGGAGTCCAAGAAGATTGACCGTCATATGTAAGCCTGCCACGCCACATCCAGCTTAGAAACCCCTTTATTGCCGTGTGCAGCTTCTGCAGCCACCTCCCTGGTGTGCAGATTGGTGAAGATAAATCCTCTCTGGGAAGTGTGGCACCAGAGAGCTGCTCTGGAGCAATTCCAGACAGACCCTCTGCCTGCTGGGAGGAGGGAAGAGCCGGTGCAGCAGCTTCAGAACATCCCCACTCCTCACAGCACGCTTGAGCGCATCGCTGCTCCGTGCTGGGGGGGCTGTGGGGTGGCTGGAAGCTGCCTGGTGGTTTCATCTCCTGGGCTGGCTCGTTTATGATCCGTTCTGCTCCGTTAGGTATCACAGCCTGTACCTGAAGGTCAAGGGGAACGTCTTCAAGAACAAGCGGATCCTGATGGAGCACATCCACAAGCTCAAGGCAGATAAAGCTCGCAAGAAGCTCTTGGCGTAAGTGCTGCTGCCTCACTGTTAAACTTCAGTCCTGTAGGTTATGGAATTGATTCTAATTTTTAATTTTCCCTTTTAAATAACTCTCTAGCTGGGTAATTCCAGGTGGTTTCTGTCAGTGGTGGCTCTGTCTGGAGCCCAGGTGAAGAATCAAACCAAAACTGAGTGGGGTTGGCTTGAAGCAGAGAAATCCCTGATCCCAGCAGAGCTTTGTGTGTGTTCTGCTGCAGGCACAGCCCGTGTTTGCTGCTCACACAGCTGGGAGCTGGTAGATCTGAGCCAGCCCCTTGGATCAGTAAATGATTGACCAGGGGAAGGGAGGAGGATTTTAAATCCCTTGGGGCTGAGCAGTGGCAGGAATCACACGTGAGCACTGGAGCAGAGGCTGGTTGGGGGGAGCAGGATCCTGTGAAGCCACGAGGAGACCAGAGCTGGTGCTGAAGTTTTTCCCTCAAGGAGACCAGAGCTGGTGCTGAAGTTTTTCCCTCGAGGAGACCAGAGCTGGTGCTGAAGTTTTTCCCTCGAGGAGACCAGAGCTGGTGCTGAAGTTTTTCCCTCGAGGCTGTTTTGAGGCGATTCCTGCACATTCACAAACTCTTTTCTTTCACTTCTTGCAGTGACCAGGCTGAAGCTCGCAGATCCAAGACCAAGGAGGCTCGTAAGCGCCGTGAGGAGCGTCTGCAAGCCAAGAAGGAGGAGATCATCAAGACCCTCTCCAAGGAGGAGGAGACCAAGAAGTAAACATCACTGTCTTGTGTACAGAGTGTTTTCCATCCAGGAGCATTCAATAAACGCACCCAGGACTCCTCCCACTGTGGCCTCTGCTCTCCTTCTCTCTCCAGAGTTTGAGGAACTGGGAGGGAATGAAGGGCTGGGGGGGGAACTGCTGCTCCCTGTCCTGGTGGGAAGCAGAGGGGTTGGTGGGGCAGTTCCTGGGGTACCCGTGAGACACCCCCAGCCCTTGTCCCAGGGCAGACACCCCCAGGGCCGGCAGCTCCTCAACACGCAGCAGCAGCCGCCTTCCCCCCGCCCCGAGCAGTGCTGTGACATCCTGTGGGACAAAAAGGGTCTGGGGGCCACC